GTCAACATTCCACCTGCATTTTTGCCTCTTAAATTAGTCATTTTTCCGCCAACTTGAGCAATTCATTAAAAGGTTCAAATTGATTTTAATCTCCACGTGAGAGGGTTTTTTGCCAGTTGGTGAGGCTTGGCCGGGGTGTGTGGAGGCTTGGCCGGGGTGCGTGGAGGCTTGGCCGGGGTGTGTGGAAGCTTGGGCGGGGTGTGTGGAGGCTTGGCCGGGGTGTGTGGAGGCTTGGCCGGGATGTGTGGAGGCTTGGCCGGGGTGTGTGGAGGCTTGGCCGGGGTGTTTGGAGGCTTAGCTGGGGTGTGTGGAGGCTTTGCCGGGGTGTGTGTAGGTTTGGCCGGGGTGTGGAGGCTTTGCCGGGGTGTGTGGAGGCTTGGCCGGGGTGTAGAGGCTTGCCTGGGGTGTGTGGAGGCTTGGCCGGGGTGTGTGGAGGCTTGGCCGGGGTGTGTGGAGGCTTGGCTGTGGTGTGTGGAGGCTTGGCCGGGGTGTGTGTAGACTTGGCTGGGGTGTGTGGAGGCTTGGCCGCGGTGTGTGGAGGCTTGGCCGCGGTGTGTGGAGGCTTAGCTGGGGTGTATGGAGGTTTGGCGGGGTGTAGAGGCTTAGCCGGGGTGTGTGGAGGCTTGGCCGGGGTGTGTGGAGGCTTGACCGGGGTGTGTGGAGGCTTGACCGGGGTGTGGAGGCTTGGCCGGGGTATGGAGGCTTGGCCAGGGTGTGTGGAGGCTTGGCCGGGATGTGTGGATCCTTGGCCGGGGTGTGTGGAGGCTTGGCCGGGGTGTGGAGGCTTGGCCGGGGTGTGTGGAGGCTTGGTCGGGGTGTGGAGGCTTGGCCGGGGTGTGTGGAGGCTTGGCCTGGGTGTGTGGAGGCTTGGCCGGGAGTGTGGAGACTTGGCCGGAGTGTGTGGAGGTTTGGCGGGGTGTAGAGGCTTGGCCGGGGTGTGTGGAGGTTTGGCGGGGAGTGTGGAGGCTTGGCCGGGGTGTGTGGAGGCTTGGCCGGTGTGTGGAGGCTTGGCCGGGGTATGGAGGCTTGGTCGGGGTGTGTGGAGGCTTGATCGGTATGTGTGGAGGCTTGGCCGGGGTGTGTGGAGGCTTGGCTGGGAGTGTGGAGACTTGGCCGGGGTGTGTGGAGGCTTGGCCGGGGTGTTGAGGCTTGGCCGGGGTGTGTGAGGCTTGGCCAGGGTGTGGATGCTTGGCCGGGGTGTGTGGAGGTTTGGCCGAGGTGTGTGGAGGCTTGGCTGGAGTATGGAGGCTTGGCCGGGGTGTGTGGAGGCTTGGCCGGGGTGTGTGGAGGCTTGGCCGGGGTGTGTGAAGGCTTCACCGGGGGGTGGAGGCTTGGCCGGGGTGTGTGGAGGTTTGGCCAGAGTGTGTGGAGGCTTGGCCGGGGTGTGTGAGGCTTGGCCGGAGTATGGAGGCTTGGCCGGGGTGTGTGGAGGCTTGGCCGGGGTTTGTGGAGGCTTGACCGGTATGTATGGAGGCTTGACCAGTATGGCTCCCTCCCAAATGAAGTTCAACAATTAACAACTCTTTACTTCATAGTGCCGACCTCGGGTGAAAGAAGGCTGTGACGATCTCTGTCCGGAACCCGTAGGTGCGGGGCCGGGACGTCCGCCTCCCGGGGCTCGTGCAGCCCGGGCTCTGCTTCAGGAGGCTGAGATAGTTCTTGCCCTTCCACGGTTGCTTCTTCTCCAGGCCGCGACCACGGCGGTCTCCGGGGTTCGGAGTCCCTGTGCCTTCTTTTACCAACTTCGAGTCAAACTCCGGAGCTGGAGCCGCTTGGGCAGTTCGTTATTGCCTTCAACCTCGTTCTGACAGTTCCTGCGACGGTGCTGGACGCAATCGTTTTGGTGTTAGCCTTGCCATTGGAGACTTTCGGCGCCGTGGAGAGGGATGGGGGGGGGGGACCTGCTGCTTGGGTGACAGCTTATCCCCCGTATCAACCTACCCTGGCTTAGCGCCCTGGAGAGGCCACTCCAGACCCACAACTAGAGCGCAACTCCATAGTCTCCTGAGACTGATGGATGCCTAATACTTCATAGATAACGTCTTTGCTTCGTAGCTAAACTCTTTACTTCATAGTTAAACTTTTTACTTCATAGTTAAACTCTTTACTTCATAGTTAAACTCTTACCTTCGCTGGTAAACTTCTACCTTCAAAAGTAAACTCTTACCTTCAAATGTAAACTCTGACCTTCAAAGGTAAACTCTTACCTTTAAAGGTAAACTCTTACCTTCGCTGGTAAACTTCTACCTTCAAAAGTAAACTCTTACCTTCAAATGTAAACTCTGACCTTCAAAGGTAAACTCTTACCTTTAAAGGTAAACTCTTACCTTCAAAGGTAAACTCAAAGCCTCGCAGGTGGCAAAGCACGCTACGTGAAATTATAATTCATTTTTACCATAAATTTGTTCCCGGGAGTTAAATTTGCGGAATAAATTTAGACGCGCGCGGAGAGTGCAAGTGAAACTACGGAGACACGTCCTGCAAGTTGGTGTGGGGGGGGGGGGGGGTGTTGATGGTGATGATTGTGGGGGGTTGGTGGTGATGATGGTGATGACGGCGGTGGTGGTGATGATGAGAGGACTGACTATGGAAATGAGGAAACAACTTAGCAAGGGGGATAGTGGTCTCAGTTGCTATATCTCAATCCTGAATGAGTTGAAGGAGGAAAGTTAGGATGAGAGTAAGTAGATAAGGGGATGGAGGAAGGGAGAAGGAGGGGGGAGGGTAGGATGAGGGATTGGCAACCAGAAAGTGGTTTGGGAGGAGGGAGGGGGGGGGAGACTTATGCGTGCCCCACCCCCCATACTGGCTTACCTGCCTAGTCTCAGCATGCGAGGTGCTGGAGGTGGAGCCTGGCCGAGAGTTGTGTGTGTGCGTGTATGGGAACATCCAGACGTGTGTGGTCCACACAGGTCAACGGTGTATGGGAGCAACACGCACCACAACCCTCAACTCTGGGTTGTGGTACGTGTTGTCAGTCAATCTCTTGAGGAATATTAAGGTAAATGACACCAGTATACTGCCCATATATATATACATATATATATATATATATATATATATATATATATATATATATATATATATATATATATATATATATATATATATATATATATATATATATTATTAAATAAGACCGAAAAAGTAAGATTAATAATTCTAACACGAATTTTCTCAATATTTCTTATGTTTTGAACGCGTTTCGTAATAACTTATTACATTTTCAAAGACTTTAGTTTGCACAATCACAACTATAACCTGCAAACACTAAACAGAGTTCTACTATGCTATCATTTAAACAGCTTTCATCTCATATACCCGCTTCTGGGTGAGGTGATATGTTACAACAGTTTTGGATGAGGTGAGCAAAACTTTCAACACAAGATTGAGCAAACTTTCAACACAAGACAGAACACGGTGCACTGGGTATAAACTGGGTAAATTAAAGGGAAGAATGGAAGTAACTGCAAAGGGCCTATTGGCCCATATTTCTTGATGCTTCTATATTGGTGCGGAGTCTTGAAGTGGATAGAATATAGTTGTGCATTAATTGGCTGTTGATTGCTGCTGTCGACTTCTTGATGTGTAGTGCCTCGCAGATGTCAAGCCGCCTGCTATCGCTGTATCTATCGATGATTTCCGTGTTTTTTGTTAAAACTTCTCTGGTGATGGTCTGGTTGTGGGAAGAGATTATATGTTCTTTAATGGAGCCCTGTTGCTTATGCATCGTTAATCGCCTGGAAAGAGATGTTGTTGTCTTTCCTATAAACTGAATTCTTTGAGGCTTTCAGTCCCCAAGTGGGCATTTGAAGGCATAGACGACATTGGTCTCTTTTAAAGCGTTCTGCTTTGTGTCTGGAGAGTTTCTCATGAGTAGGTTGGCCGTTTTTTTGGTTTTATAGTAAATCGTCAATTGTATCTTCTGATTTTTGTCTGTAGGGATAACGTGCCTATTAACAATATCTTTCAGGACCCTTTCCTCCGTTTTATGAGCTGTGGAAAAGAAGTTCCTGTAAAATAGTCTAATAGGGGGTATAGGTGTTGTGTTAGTTGTCTCTTCAGAGGATGCATGGCGTTTCACCTTCCTTCTTATGATGTCTTCAACGAAACCATTAGAGAATCCGTTGTTGACTAGGACCTGCCTTACCCTACAGAGTTCTTCATCGACTTGCTTCCATCCTGAGCTGTGGCTGAGGGCACGGTCGACATACCTGTCAGGTACCTCTTGTACCTGTCTGGGCAGTCACTGTTGGCATTGAGGCACATTCCTATGTTTGTTTCCTTAGTGTAGGCTGCAGTGAGGAAACCTCCGCTCCTTTCCATAACTGTTACATCTAGAAAGGGCAGCTTCCCATCCTTCTCCATCTCGTAAGTGAAACGCAACAGAGAATTCCGCTCAAATGCCTCTTTCAGCTCCTGCAGATGTCAGACATCAGGTACCAGTGTAAAAATGTCGACAACATACCTGCAGTATATGGCCGGTTTCAAGTGCATGTCGACATGAACTTGTATATATATATATATATATATATATATATATATATATATATATATATATATATATATATATATATATATATATATATATATATATATATATATATATATATATATATATATATATATATATATATATATATATATATATTACCTCTCCTTGTAAGCTTAACATACTTGTGTCAGTTCAACAGTGTGAGCTCCGGGAGATGTCACAACCACAGGATGTTTGCGTAGAATGGAAAATATCCAAAAGAAAATTAACAATAGTCACAATGCTGTTGTGTTTATTGGCATATAATATATCCCTCCGGGGTGAGGGGTGGGGGGGGGGGCGTGTGTGTTTATGACAGCCGGCGGTGTTCTGGCCCCCGGGGGGGGGGGGGAGCAGTCAAGCGTATGGCGCCGTGATTACCTATTAGGGAGTATGTGGGGCTCCCTGGCACCCTGGAGCCTGGCACTGCCTTCCTCGCCTCAGCGTGCCAGTAGCTGACCTCAGCATGCCAGTACCTGTCCTCAGCGTGCCAGTACCTCACCTCACCGTGCCAGTACCTCACCTCACCGTGCCAGTACCTGTCCTCAGCGTGCCAGTACCTGACCTCAGCGTTCCAGTACCTGTCCTCAGCGTGGCAGTACCTCACCTCAGCGTGCCAGTACCTCACCTTAGCGTGCCAGTACCTCACCTCAGCGTGCCAGTATCTCACCTCAGCGTGCCAGTACCTCACCTCAGCATGCCAGTACCTCACCTCAGCATGCCAGTACCTGACCTCAGCGTGCCAGTACCTGACCTCAGCGTGCCAGTACCTGACCTCAGCGTGCCAGTACCTGACCTCAGCGTGCCAGTACCTGACCTCAGCGTGCCAGTACCTGACCTCAGCGTGCCAGTACCTGACCTCAGCGTGCCAGTACCTGACCTCAGCGTGCCAGTACCTGACCTCAGTGTGCCAGTACCTGACCTCAGCGTGCCAGTACCTGACCTCAGCGTGCCAGTACCTGACCTCAGCGTGCCAGTACCTGACCTCAGCGTGCCAGTACCTGACCTCAGCGTGCCAGTACCTGACCTCAGCGTGCCAGTACCTGACCTCAGCGTGCCAGTACCTGACCTCAGCGTGCCAGTACCTGACCTCAGCGTGCCAGTACCTGTCCTCAGCGCGCCAGTACCTGTCCTCAGCGTGCCAGTACCTGACATCAGCGTGCCAGTACCTCACCTCAGCGGGTCAGTACCTGTCCTCAGCGTGGCAGTACCTGACCTCAGCAGGTCAGTACCTGACCTCAGCGTGCCTGTACCTGACCTCAGCGTGTCAGTACCTGACCTCAGCAGGTCAGTACCTGGCCTCAGCGTGCCAGTACCTCACCTCAGCGTGCCTATACGATCCAAAACTTGTACCAATGTGACGTCATAGTGACGTCACATACGTTTTGCGCAACATATATATTTAAAACACAGCATTTTATCCCTTATTTTGTTGTGGTTAGGTTAGGGTAAATTTGGCAGACGACGAGTCAAAATGTCGCGGCCCAAGAGCTGGCACCCAAGCCACATAGCTGGGAAGGAGGCGACGAAGACGTTCAGGTTCGTCGAGGACCATTATGGGGTTATCTTGAGATGATTTCGGGGCTTTTTAGTGTCCCCGCGGCCCGGTCTTCGACCAGGCCTCCACCCCCAGGAAGCAGCCCGTGACAGCTGACTAACACCCAGGTACCTATTTTACTGCTAGGTAACAGGGGCATAGGGTGAAAGAAACTCTGCCCATTGTTTCTCGCCGGCGCATGGGATCGAACCCAGGGCCACAGGATGACAAGTCCAGCGTGCTGTCCGCTCGGCCGACGGGTGTAAGAGAGAGTGTGGTATAGACAGACAGTATAACCCAAGAGAGTAAATATGAATGGTGAGAAGACATGTCATGTTACGGACTCTTTATCATGCTATTGATTGGTCTTGTAAAATAATCTTCCTTGCCTCTGCTCTTGACAGACGCCGTCTGGTCGACGCGGCTGTGTCACACAACCTTCCCAACATGGACCTGAGTCCTGGCTGTGTTGCTGTTGACTCTTCCCTTTCACAGTACATACTTAAAGGCTCCAGCCTTCTTAACAAACGTGATCTGACTTAGCTCTGCCCCCTCTAGGCTCTCTTTCCCTTCTCTCTTACGGTACTAGATTGTTTCTCTTTGCCATTTTGGCCTCTAACTGTTTTTCTTTCTTTATTTTTACCTTCCTATTTTTGTATTTTTTTCTATTTATACTGAACATTTTTCCTATTCTTCTTCTTTTTTGTGTGTGTGTATTCACCTAGTTGTGCTTGCGGGGGTTGAGTTCTGGCTCTTTCGGCCCGTCTCTCAACTGTCAGTAAATATATTTTTTGTACACAAACCCATACACACACACATACAGACACACCAGACGGGACACCACGAGCGTCCTGTAACTACACTTAGGTAATTACCAGGAAGCAGCCCGTAACAGCTGTCTAACTCCAAGGTACATTGGCATCAGGCTGAAAGAAACTCCGCTCATTTGTTTCCGCCATTGCCGAGGATCGATCCCTGGGCCATAGGACTACGAATCCAACGCGCTGTCCACTCAGCCACCAGCGCCCCACACTGTGTGTGTGTGTGTGAGCGTGTGTGCACACTGCATGAATGTCTTTCAAAAGAGCCAGTTTTCTAACTCTTTCCTTATTTTCCCGCGTTCCATCCCATGATGCTCCCTCCTCCACCCACCAACTCTAATCCCCCCCCCCCCATCCCTCTATCCTCAATCGCACCATCCTCGGTCCTACAAACCCTTCCTCTCCCCTACCCCCCCCTCACCCCCCCATGCCCCCCCATGCCCCCCCCCCCTAACCCATTTCTCTCATTGTGTTATTCATTTTCCTTTTCCCACAATTTCCTTGAGTCCTTCACATCCCATTGTTCTTTTCTGTTCATCATTCGCCTCCTGTTTCAACCCCTTTTATTCATTACATTTTTATTTTTAATTCTTATATGTATCTATTCCCGTTCTGATTCCTCTCCTCCCCCCCCCCCACCTTCTCTCCTCCCCCTTCTTGGTACTGGAAAAGGGTTAAGGGGGCAATAGGAGCAACATATAAATAACCCCACACAGATGCATCCCCCTCCCCCCCACCAGGTGGTGTGAGATTATGAGGTGCAGGATGAGGCCACCTCACACTCGGTAACCTCGTGAGTCTATCTCTCCCCATTAATATCCCATAGTTCTCTTCCCCATTAATATCCCACAGTTCTCTTCCCCATTAATATCCCAAAATTCACTTGATTGTCAATGTATTTGTAAATCATTTTCAACATAAATATGTTGTTCCGTTCTCCTTTATAATGATTATGCAAGAGTATTTTCTTCTTTGTTTAGGTATGTACGAGTCTGCGTCTTGAACCAAGTCGACCTTCAGCGTCACAACCTCCCGGTAAGTCGACCTTCAGTGCCTCAACCTCCCGGTAAGTCGACCTTCAGTGCCTCAACCTCATGGTAAGTCGACCTTTAGTGTCACAACCTCCCGGTAAGTCACCTTCAGTGCCTCAAAACTCCCGGTAAGTCGACCTTCAGTGCCTCAACCTCCCGGTAAGTCGACCTTCAGTGCCTCAACCTCATGGTAAGTCGACCTTTAGTGTCACAACCTCCCGGTAAGTCACCTTCAGTGCCTCAAAACTCCCGGTAAGTCGACCTTCAGTGCCACAACCTCCCGGTAAGTCGACCTTCAGTGTCACAACCTCCCGATAAGTCGACCTTCAGTGCCACAACCTCCCGATAAGTCGTCCTTCAGTGCCACAACCTCCCGATAAGTCGACCTTCAGTGTCACAACCTCCCGATAAGTCGACCTTCAGTGTCACAACCTCCCGATAAGTCGTCCTTCAGTGCCACAACCTCCCGATAAGTCGACCTTCAGTGCCACAACCTCCCGATAAGTCGACCTTCAGTGTCACAACCTCCCGATAAGTCGACCTTCAGTGCCACAACCTCCCGATAAGTCGACCTTCAGTGTCACAACCTCCCGATAAGTCGACCTTCAGTGCCACAACCTCCCGATAAGTCGATCTTCAGTGTCACAACCTCCCGATAAGTCGACCTTCAGTGCCACAACCTCCCAATAAGTCGACCTTCAGTGTCACAACCTCCCGATAAGTCGTCCTTCAGTGCCACAACCTCCCGGTAAGTCGACCTTCAGTGTCACAACCTCCCGATAAGTCGTCCTTCAGTGCCACAACCTCCCGATAAGTCGACCTTCAGTGCCACAACCTCCCGATAAGTCGTCCTTCAGTGCCACAACCTCCCGATAAGTCGACCTTCAGTGTCACAACCTCCCGGTAAGTCACCTTCAGTGCCTCAAAACTCCCGGTAAGTCGACCTTCAGTGCCACAACCTACCGGTAAGTCACCTTCAGTGCCTCAACCTCCCGGTAAGTCGACCTTCAGCGTCACAACCTCCCGGTAAGTCGACCTTCATTGTCACAACCTCCCGATAAGTCGACCTTCAGTGCCTCAACCTCCCGGTAAGTCGACCTTCAGCGTCACAACCTCCCGGTAAGTCGACCTTCATTGTCACAACCTCCCGATAAGTCGACCTTCAGTGCCACAACCTCCCGGTAAGTCGACCTTCAGTGCCACAACCTCCCAATAAGTCGACCTTCAGTGTCACAACCTCCCGATAAGTCGTCCTTCAGTGTCACAACCTCCCGGTAAGTCGACCTTCAGTGCCACAACCTCCCGATAAGTCGACCTTCAGTGCCACAACCTCCCGATAAGTCGACCTTCAGTGCCACAACCTCCCGATAAGTCGACCTTCAGTGCCACAACCTCCCGGTAAGTCGACCTTCAGTGCCACAACCTCCCGGTAAGTCGACCTTCAGTGCCACAACCTCCCGGTAAGTCGTCCTTCAGTGCCACAACCTCCCGGTAAGTCGACCTTCAGCGTCACACCCTCCCGGTAAGTCGACCATCAGTGCCACAACCTCCCGGTAAGTCGACCTTCAGCGCCACAACCTGCCGGTAAGTCGACCTTTAGCGCCACAACCTCCCGGTTATTCGACCTTCAGTACCACAACCTCCCGGTAAGTCGACCTTCAGCGCCACAACCTCCCGGTAAGTCGACCTTCAGCGCCACAACCTCCCGGTAAGTCGACCTTCAGCGCCCACAGCCTCCCGGTAAGTCGACCTTCAGCGTCACAACCTTCCGGTAAGTCGACCTTCAACGCCACAACCTCATAAAGATGACGTCTCTTCCAGCGTGTCTGAAGGTTCAGTTCTCTCTACTAAGCATAAACTAAACCAAATACTTTACCTGTACTGGAAAGTATCGCATCTCGCAGGAATGAATATGAAGACGAATAACAATGCCATAAAGATGTGCCAGGAAGTGCATTTAACCTCATCGTCCTCAGTCTCACTCTCCACGGTAATGAGGCAAGGTATTAGAGGTATTAAGCAGGTGTTGGTATAGTCTCACCAGACAGCATAAGGCCGGATAGATACACCAGCACACGTAAAGAAAATAAAAAAATAGTGTATATACACCCTCCCTAGCAGCTGCCTCAGGGTACAGGGGGGCTACACCTTTGTGTATAGCCCCCCTCTGGTGCACACAGATGCACCAACATTATTCCGCACACCTGTAATGATCCCTGGGGTCTAAGGTGATTGTCCCTGCTGTCGTACCCTTGGGCTTCGGTCTATATTCAGAGCCCTTAACAGGGGAGATCTTCAGATGCCCCGGGGTGGGACCAGATGCCCCGGGGTGGGACCAGATGCCCCGGGATCCTACCAGATGCCCCGGGGTCCTACCAGATGCCCCGGGGTGGGACCACATGCCCCGGGATCCTACCAGATGCCCCGGGGTGGGACCAGATGCCCCGGGGTCCTACCAGATGCCCCGGGGTGGGACCAGATGCCCCGGGGTCCTACCAGATGCCCCGGGGTGGGACCAGATGCCCCGGGGTCCTACCAGATGCCCCGGGGTGGGACCAGATGCCCCGGGGTCCTACCAGATGCCCCGGGGTGGGACCAGATGCCCCGGGGTCGGAGTCATGCTTTGCAGGGTTCAAGGGCTCTCTCCCTTGCCTCGTTCACCTCTCCAGCTCCGGGTAATAACCTTTCTGCCCCAGCCTTCCGGTTGTGAACCAGTTGTCGTGGCCATGACGCAGTATATGAGTCTCGTAAGTGCTCGGTTCTGGGATATTCTGGCCGGTGTGGACCTGGTGGCTCATGCGTTTGGGCACACCTGGACAGCGTGAATATATGCCTGGAGTTTACCTGCAATGGGTTCTGAGAGTTGTTCTACTCCCCGAGTCTGGCCTGAGGAACTTGACTTGTGAAAACCTTGGCCAACAAGTTGTTTCTTGAAGTGGGGCCACACATCCACTACAACCCGGTTGGTCTGGTACAGTGT